AGACTTGCCACGGTCTCCAACCCTCCTCCTTTCTCATCCGGGCTTGGGACCGGCCATGGCGGAGTTCCAGTACTGATTTTAAAATCTTAAATATTCTTCAAATATATGGTGCCGATGTAATATGTACAGCTGAAACGGTATTTATTTTCTTACTATCTCCTGCTATATGAGGGCCTGGATACGTCTGTGAGTTGTGACAGTGGTGCTGCGGGACACTCTCCGTTGATTTGTCTGCGACCAAAACCTCACAAAGTATCCCAGTTGTATGATTACGTTGGGCTCCATTTGCCAGAGTTGGCACCTGAATGAACTATCGAACAGTTTTTTTGCCAGAAATGCTCAAAAACGGAAAAACCTTTTCACGTTTTTCACGTTACAGTGTTGTCGTGAACAACACCTCCGTCTCAGAAACCATCTGACATGGTTGAAAAACACACCCAGAACGTCAGTAAAATCTTTATGGCCACTCATAATGTGAGAACCCTGTCGGCATACATTACTCAAGCAGCGCAAATTTGTGTTCATGGCGCACCCATAACTACACAAAGTGTTAACATCAAAATATCATTATTTTGCTCATCGTTTAAACTGTCTTGTAAAACTGCAACAGTGTCGTGGAGCACTGTCAAAGAATAAAGTAAAGGTTTGCTTGCCAGAATGAAACAGAGTGGATCAGTTTCTGCGATCGTTGCGACGGTCTGTCATTTTTCTCAAATCCGTAAATTAACGCGGAACCGTAACCGAATAAAGGAGATCTCCTTATGCCTTTAAAATAATTTTTGTAAAAGGGCTTATGTAATTCCAGTTTCTGAATTGAAAATTCCAGAGGCGACTGTTAATGTATGCTCATCGGAAGAAAATAATAAATATCAATTTTGAACGCTAGCAATATGGTAAACAGAGTTCCACCTTGTAGGTTTATTTTGGCCCTGCTATCTAGTTTTATGGTGTACTTATAATACTGATTTTCAATCGCTTGTCTGGTCGGTCAAGGCGAATTGCAGTCGTAAGGCTTACGTATCGGACAATATGTCCATCGGCTTTGTTGCCATGATCAGCCCAAACATCGTGTTGCCCCTTTTGTTCACAGATCAATGACTTATTCTCCCTGACTTGGGTGTTTGAATTTAAGAGTACCCGTTTGATGTTGGACAGGGCGAATTCTTTGCTCAGTGGAATTGACAGTTAATCACAAAGTTCTGCGCCGCGCTAGGACTGGAAATGTAAAATGGAACTGCATTCCACTGCACCAGGTTATTGTTTCTAATTCTAGAGGGTCATTTAATCAGATCAAAAACTGAAACAGGTCATTGACTTGC